AAGACTAGATTGCTTAAAAATCACGGCATACCATCCCCAAAGCTTAAAAAAAAAAGTAACAAATGAATCAGACTCAGGAGATTCACTCACACTGGAACCAATTCTTGCCAGTAGTTCTGCTAAAGGTTAGATCTAGTCCCACTAAACAGATGGGGGTTTCCCCCTGTTAAAATTCTCTATAGGTGGCCCCCTCCCCTTATTAAGAGTATAAGGGGGGACTCAGAAGAGCTTAAAAATCTCACCCTGAGACAACAGATGCAGGTGTTAGGCTCAACCTAAGCCACTCTACTCTAATGGGTTAAGAAATGATGGCCTGTGAGTCTGACTACAGATGCTCACTCTTTTCAACCAAGAGATGCCGTGTGGGTAAAAGAGTAAAATATCCAACACCCAAACACCTCTAGAGGGGTCCATACACTGTTATCCTATCCACCCCCATCACAGTAAAGGTAGCTGAGATAGTCCCCTGGATTCACCACAGCAGAGTAAAGCCAGCTTCTCAGAACTGAGAGTGTGTCCCCGACTTACCAGTGCTATGTAAGCTGATAATTCGAAAAAAGCTGACCTCAACCCCACAGACATCATCAGGAGTAGGCAGCCCTGCGCTAGTCACTCCAGAGGCTGACGAGTCTACGCACAGCAAAAGCCTGAAAATGCCACCAACTGGTGACACAAATAGACTGCATCGTTTTTTGTGTCCAGCCTGTTATGCACTGCCATCTCTTGTTCTTAACCATACCTGGATATCCAGCTCTGGTTTTTACCAGAGCCCTTGTGGAGACCACCCCAGCTGACTAGAAATATGGCAAGAGGTATCTGCTAGCCTCTCACCTTGCTCTTGTGGTGAGGTGTATTGCTAGTATTGGCTTTTTTTTAACTAGGGTCCCCATTATTAGACCTGAGCTCCCCATTGTGCGACTCATGTATTCACATAATGATGTCAGCCCAGAGAGTCACTCAGACCTTACTATACCATATCCACTTCTCATGCCAAGAAAAAGTTCTGGGGACTTTTGGACACAATAACCCACCACCTATTCTATCTGCAAACAGGAGAGTCAATGCACTTTCGACTTGAAGTACTCCCCAACTGAGAAATGGTTAGAGGCCCAACACTCCCGGGGGGGGCAATTAATTAATCAGCAAAACCCAGATTATTAATTCCCCCTGCCAGTATCAGTGCTCTTTGATGTATGTGTAGCTATTAACAGAAACCCTTCATTAGCCCAAAATTGTAGAGGTCTACCACGAAAACAAAAATATAGGCTCAATGGCAAATATATGTATAAACAGGCCTCACCCTAATCCACATGTTATGGTGAATTCTAGCCTTACTTCCCCTATTAGAGCTATGTCTCATGGGCCACTTCAAAGGGTAAAGATAAGGTGGTACTCCTCCAAAAGGGGACTGCCACCTCCAGCTGTAAATTGGGAGTCTATAACACCATTAATTTTACTACCTTAAATCCAAAAAACCCAAAATAAAAAATGGTCTCAAGATTATATAGCACTGACCCAGAAACTATATTACTGTCTCACTCTGAGCCTCGACTCATGAGGTCTTCCATTCCTTTCGTAAGGAAATAAAAAGTTGCCCCCCTCATTCCAGTCACAACAAAAAACTTGCTTGTAGCCCTGGCAGAGACTATAGCCCAGATCCTAAAAGTCTCTTCTTGCTATATATGTGAGAAAAACCAACATGCGAGATCAATGGCCATGAGAGCCTAGAAAACGAGATCTCCACAAACTACAATAAAACAGGGTACCCTGGTCCTACCAAAGGAATTTGGCTCCTCGAAACCTCAATTATTAAAAAAAAACTGCCAGGCCAAGTATTTAGCTCAATGGCACCACACCTGCCTCTAAAACACAAGGTCCTGAGTTCAATCCCTGGTACTGCAAAACACACAAACGAACCCCCCCAAATAAAAAAAAACTGCCTTGCCCGATAGAAAATAAGGTTCACCATCCCTTTTAAAAGCCTAATGTGTCTAGGCCACAGATTTATAACCCAGCCACCAGAAAAACACAATGGTAGGGTGACCCCATATCAGCTTGAGCTCAATCTTCACCCATTGTCCAACTTCTCTCATCTCTGGGGGGCCTGAGATGTTGACAGAGACCTCCAATAGCAGGCCCCAGGTGGTCTATATTAAACATGCAAAAGAACAGCCGATACTGTACTCCCCACAAACTAGTAAGGGTCTTGTGTGTTAGAGATAATCAATCCATCCATCTTTCTTCCTACTCCCTCTCACTAAAACATCTAAGAGACCAGATAAATGATGTTAGAGAGACCTCAAAAAAAAGACATGCCCTACAAATTGATAATTAAAAAGATGATAAACAGCCTCCCAAGTGTACAGTCCAATATTATGGAAGATGGGTCCTAGGGCTACCACACCCCCATTAACATGTTAATAATACACACATACCACATAGTCAGACTACAAGCAGTTGTAAAAACTATAACTAATAAAACTGCCAAAGCCCTTATTAGTGAAATGACAAACCAAAATGCACAATGCTGTCTATGAAAACTGCTTGGCCTTAGATTACTTGCTTATTCCCCCCAAAAAAAAATTATAAAAAGTTTAACCTGAGCAACTGCTGCCTACAAATAGATAATGAAAATTCAAACCTGATAAAAAAGATTGCTCATGTCCCAGTCCAGACCTGAAAAGGCTAAAACCCCAGAGAGTTGTTTAAAAGATGGTTTTGGGGGCCCAGGATTTAGCTCAGTGGTTCTGCCACCTGCCTTGCAAGCACAAGGACCTGAGTTCGATCCCCGGTACCAAAAAAAAAAAAAAAAAAAAAGATGCTTTTTTACCTTAAAGAGATTCAAAACCTTCAAAAGTGTTGTGCTCTTAATTTTAAAAACTTGTCTAATCCCACCCTGTCTAGTTCCCCTAGTTATATGGTCTGTCATTGAGGCATTGGTCAAATAACAGACAAAATCAGCCATGCAAGTGATGATGCTATAACTTTAAACCAAGATGATGCTCTTTGACTGGAAATAGGTGATCTGAGCATCAAAGGGGGAAATGTGGCAAGAGCCGCTCCCAAAGAAATTCAGTGGGGGCTTTCTTATAACAGAGGAGGACCATATGGCATAATTAGTCCCTATGTACACAAGTGTAATTCTAGCAAGGCTGTGTAACATAGACTGTACCCAATGAGGATATAGTTTGTGTGTTACCATATAAGAGAGACAAAGACATAAGAATTGTATAAAAAGCAAAAACTCCATGCTCACCAAGCTCAGGGCTCAGCCTTTAGATGTGAATTTGCTGAGTCAATTTATCCAGCATGGATAAATGCTACTTCCGGGAAAGAGCCTCTGTGTACCATCTCTCTGTGTGAAAATCCTGCTACATTACTGCAAAAAGTCACTGGTTAATGTGAGGTCTACCAGTGTAAGGTCTACTCAAGGCAATCAAGAAAATCTGAATATGGAATTAAGAGAGCAAACTGTCCCAGACTTCAGGGCAGATAAACTGTCCTCTCACCAATTCCTCAGCCTTTCAAGCTGTCCAAGAATCATGCTTTAAAAGTTGCAGCTTCTCCACAGCTCTTTGAATGCAACCTCTGCACCTTGCTGTTGATCTTCTGGGACTGGACTGTTGGACCTACTCCAGCATTGGAAACTCCACTCCCGCTCCCACGCATGCATCTCAGGCTGGAAGCATCCAAGGCAAAGCTCCAGGGACTGCCTGAGGATTTCTGGGCACCCAGTGGTTTTTTGCAAGTAAAATTCTCAAAAGCAAAGTGGATGGCCTTGAGGCTGGGCACTGGGTCGGGCAGGAACAGTTCTTAGCTCCAGTGACAAAAGCTCTTGCACTTTCACTATCACAAGGAGCCCTTTCCCCTAGGAGTCAGGAACTGACACTACTCTCAGGCTCCTGGACCACTTTAGCTGGGAATTAGCAGCATCAATCTTTGCAGGTAATCATTTAAGGTGTCTGTGGTCATGTGAAAGAAATGACAGCTTCATCAGGACTCTGAGTTCCTGAATCTCCATGTCTTGGCCATAGAGAACAACTTGGGCATGGGTAGAGCTGTCTCTAGTGTCTTGGTCTCAGTGGGCTCCAAACTATCAGTGCCTGTTACCCCATTCCCCTGGTTTGCTTCCATCAGAGCCTCCTGGAAACACAAAAAAAGGGAAGATTTCAGCTCTCTGTTGTGGACCCATACATTTCTAGATCTTAGCTCCCAGGCATAAAGTCCTAGCACTAAGGTTTTCCATCTACATACCAACAATGTAAGCTTGGGACCAATTTGAGGACCACTTTTTCCAATTAGGATCACTGTAACTAGTAGCCATTGGATCCAGCCTTGACACAACTGGTTGCTGTGCTAGAAAATTTGTTTACAGCGGCAAGACCAGCAAGGACCAACTGGAAGACACAAGGCCATATCAGAGGGCGAACCCTAAGACCCAAGAGACCTCTGGTGGTGGCTGAAGGTGGAAAGGAAAGGACTAAGTCAAAAGACTGAAGCTCAGTTCTTCAAGAAGAAACTACCAAGAAAATCCAAGGCCACTGCGACTCGTGGCAGAGGACCAGAGTCAGATCTCCAGGAAAGCCTATTAAATGTGAATCCTCAAGCTCATAAGAGATCTAATGTGCCACTGCGTCAGGTGGGGCCCAAGAATCTGAATTTAAAACAAGCTCTCCCAAGAAATCCCTCCCCACCCCCACACATACATATAAAGGTTTGAGAATCACTGACTAGGTCATAACATTTTAAAAAGGTTTCCCACCTGCTCCTTACTCTAAGGCTATTGGGCAGAAGCCCTCATTCAGTCCGTGAACCCCAGGTGTCCCTACCAAGACCCCCTGGGGCCAAGAAGTCATCAGACCGGAAATGAGAGCACTTCCAACGCAGTTTAGAGCTAGGAAGCTCGGGAGAGCCCCAGCCCCTCTCACGTCAGCATCCTTGCGGGTCCTGAGCGCAGCGGGCAGCGTGAGGCCTGCCGGGAGATGTAGTCAACAGCGTGACTCCGCGCCTGCGCCTTGGGCATTTGCCGGTGAGTTTGGGAGAGCAGTGGGCGCTGAGGCGGTGAGTCCCGGAGCGGCCAGAGGGCGTGGCCGTCCCTGGGGCGCGGGCGCGGGTAACGGGGTTTCCT